GGGCCAGGGCCAAGGCGGGGCAGGGACGCCTCTTCTCCTCCTGGGACCTAAATCACAGGGGTGCGTGGCCATGTTCAGACATCAGACATTGTTCACTTGGGCTGCGAAGCTGGTTCTGGCAACTAGCAGGCAGGGGAGGCCCAGCTCCTGTTGGGACAGAGACGTGGTAGTCATGTGTTACCCGTAGGACTTTCACAAGGTAGGTGGGTTTCATGTCCACGGAGAGATTAGGGTGGAGATATATACATAAATCTGTATCTAGAGATGTAACGCCAAGAGTGACAATGGTCAGCACTGAACTTTCCTGGGACACATCATCTGGGTCGCTAGGTCAATGAGGACAGACATCTCAGGGTGGGGTGGTTAACGTTCAGGAAACTGTCCCTAAGGGAAGCTGCATTTAAATTAGCCAGAAGAAAGCAAACAGTTTATTTCCCACTGGTTTCCTTGAGAATCTTCTCTGCCAGTCCCAGCTGGAGCCCAGTCTGAATGCCCAGCTGGGAGCTTTGGAAACAGAGATGACGACGGTCCCCGGTACAGCCAACCACCCCCGGCCTCGGGGACCTGGGGAGGCTAGTGGCCGAGGGAGCTCCGCGGCAGTGCCGAGTAGAAAGGGAGGACGACGGCCTCCGGGAAATCTCCGAACCTAAGCGACCCGGAGCGTGGCCGGGGGAACTCCGACCTCAGCGTTGGGCTGGGTCCCGCTGGCCTCGGAGAGCAGGGCCACTGCCTGGGGACGGGAGGAAGTCCGATGGCCCTCAGTGAGGCCGGCGAGAAGCCCAGTAGACATCGCCCGGGAGGTACGGGACCAAGATGCCCGAGTAGCAATACGAGACTGGGATCAAAGCAGCTCCAGCAAGAACCTGGGAAAGCGGCCCAGAAGGGAAGGAAAAGTTCCACCGTCCCTTCTCCATTCCTTCCTCCTTTCCACCCTTCAGTGTTAAAGCCAAGGGCACCGGGACAGCCCAAGAGAAGCCCCGGTTTCGAGACCAGGAGCCCTTATCCTGAGCCTGTTCCCCAGGGTCTGCCCCTTCACCGGTGCTTAAAACAACTTAAGAGGCTTCTAAAGCCGGCCGACCCTGGGCCCTGGGGGCTTCTCCTGCATGCACGGCGCTAGTTGTGCGGTGAAAAGTGCCTCCTTTCAGACTAGGCAGCTGCCTACACCAATGAGGAGCCCCGAATCTGCGAGGAACCCAACTCAGGCTTCCGCCACAGGACCCGAGGTGGCCGGGCCTGCAGGTGGGGCCAGAACCCCGGGTTCCAGAAGGAACGAGGGGCCCGATGCAGCCCTCCACTGTGTACCCACAGCCTCCACGCACCTCTGTCGACATCCCTCAGGGCTGATCCTGAGTCCCTAAGCCCCGACAGACAACTCGGGTTCAACCCTCGCAAGTGAGGAAGTGGGGGCGAGTAGTGGCTGTGGAGTCATATACTAACTTTCTCCGCACCCGGTTGGAAGGAGGAAGTCAGCGCCCAGGTGGGCAGCAGCTGTCAGGCGCGCTCTCCCGAACTGGAGGGTGGCAGAGTGGCGGAACCCGTCAAAGGTGAGGAGTGTTCACCACAGACACTGCGGATTCTCGCACAAAACCTCTCCCGCCAGTCCTCACGCCAACCAAGGAAGGTCTGGTCCTTAGCTCCGGAAAAGGGCGCTGCCAAAGGAAATGAGAAGTGAGGCCTGCCAAAGGAGGAGGAGAAAATTAATTAATGAGGGAAAGAAATGTGTCTCTGATCCAGATGATAGACTCCCTGTCCCTGGGGGCTGAAACTCCTTGGAAATCAATAGCTGTGCATTCATTATCCCTCTCTTGATAAAATGCAAATCTATGAGATGAGGAGGAGGAGGAGGGGATCTGTGTTGGTCATTAAATAAGAAGGAAAAAAAAAAATGCCCAGGAATCTCTGCCAAGACTCAGACCCCATGTGGGTATCATTAGCACAGGCAGGGGCCAACTAGTTACAGCAGTTGCCAAACCAGGAAAACAAAACAGTGACATATGGGTGAGCTGAGCCCAAGCCTGCCACCCTTTCCTTTTACCCATCAGGAGGAAAGTAGGGAGAGGCTTGATACGGTCCAGGGAACTGCCTGCAGATGTGCCAGCACACCCCATTCTTTAGCCTGGGGCTGAAGAGCAACAGGGAGGAGGTTTGATAACTGTCCTAACATCACCCACCCCATATTTCTGTACAAGTCCCTCTCATCACACCTGTTATACCTGTGCCATAGATGCCTTTTATCCGTGGCTGCCCCCCACACATACACTGTCACCTCCTGCAGGGTAGATACTCATATTGTATACCTCATTTTATCTCCAGTGTCTTGTACTGGGCCAGACTACTGCTCAGCAAGCATTTGAGGGAAGAAGATAGGGTAGCAAGTTAATGAGGGAGGAGTGAAATAATTGGCTCCTGAAAAAGATCAGGCTGAAATCAAAGTGTACATCTCTGCCTAGGGAAAACACACCCCTCCTTTTAAAGGAGAATTTAGACCACCCCCCGGGGATCTTCCTGCCATCTCCAACCAGCCCTGGTTGGTTGAACAACCCCTGGGCCACCACCTCTGCCCCACACCACCCCAAACTGGCCTCTTCCACCTACACACATGTGTTGTTTGGTGGGGCACTTTTCCTGTGTGACAAACTCTGTGCTAAGTGCCATAGTGAAAATGTATGTGTCCGAGATGGGCTTCCCATCCATGGTGGGAGGGGACGGGAGGACTGATTGTACCCACAGCCCTCATATTTCTGGTCCCATCAAAATGCCCAATATCTTGAGCAAAGATCTGGCCACACCCCAAGGTGGGGTATTCCTGTTGCAGGAGAGGTAAACAGGGAAGGGAATCTTCCTGGGACTAACTCCTAATTTTAGGCTAAGCTGACATCTCTCTGCTGGGTTTATTGGAAGCCTCCCAGGGTTGGAGGGTGAACGAAGGTGACTTGTGGGTACTCTGGAGCTCACCTGATGCTCAGAGGTCCCACCCGGCCACAAACCTGTACTGTGTGCCTTTCTGCCAGCCCTGAACCCTTCAGGGTCACTAAAGATCAATGCTTTTTTAGGAGGGAGGAGCAGGCTTCAGGCTCTCACTCTCTTTGGGGGTCTTTCCTTTCCCCTCAAGGGAGAGTGCAGGGAGCGGCCACCGGGGGTGTCAGGAAGGGTTAGGTTAAGCCCGGTGTGATGACTACTGTAGGACTCACTCTTTCCCTCTAGCGACGTCCTGCTCACGGTCCACTCCCTGTTGAGATAAAGTTGCATTTAGCGCTCCCAGAGGACCGCATAATGGATGGAGCCGGCTCCTTCTCTCACCAGCAAGTGAACATCCTTCTCACTTCCCTCTGGAGCTAGAACGAAGGGAGGGGGTGGGGAAAAGATGAAAAGAAAGAAAGAAAAAGCCATGGTGACGCCTGTGGGCTCTTCTTGGAATCTCAGTAGGTGAGTGCGTATGCTATATACACATGCGTTTGTGCAGAGGAAAGATAAAATCCACAGGAACGCAAATTTAGGTTTATAGAAATGAGATCTGCTATTTGGTGGAAACACAGACCTCCTTGGTGTGAGAGAGACCAGAAAGATTTTTATCTGATCTCTGTTTTCCAAAAGCAGCCCCTTGTTGCTTTCCAGCTCTCTTGCTGCAGATGTGATGACATCTGGGCGGTTAGGTTATTATCACCGCGAGCAAACGCTGCATCGTTGGGGACTTCGGCACCTGAACTGTGGCTCCCCTGGGAGGCTCTTGATCCGCCTGCCACATTAGGGACATATAACAGGTCGGCTAATTGATTTGTTCTTTTTAGATCTTAATTTCACAATAATTTTTAAAAAAATTTAATGTTGGACCAGAACTTGTACCCATTTTTCAAATTGGCTTGAATTAATATTCTTGAATCGAGTTTTCCTATAAGTTAACTTGATCTGTGTCCTATTGAAAAATAATATACATAAGCAAGCAGAGATAAAAGGCAAAAAGCCAAAACGATGGAAGAGAAAAGAAAGTTATCTTTTCAACATCTTAATCCCTTTTCTCTGAAGCAGTTTTCTTTTCCTGGAGTTCCCAGCATAAAGTGTGTGTGTGTGTGTGTGTGTGTGTGTGTATTCTCTGAGGGGAGAAAGGATCCCAACTACACCCTGTTAACTATTTTTTCCTTTTGATTACTAGAAGCCTCAGATCACCCGGAGCTCGTTTGAAACGTGGGTTTGTACATGGTTGAAGGAGACAAACAATAAGAGAAATGCACAATTTCATTTCAACAGCTTTTCCCTAGTAGAAAGCACACGCTCCTTGTGGCTCCTAAGTGGCTGTCACTGGCGGTGCCTGACACAGTTATATTCACAACAACAACAACAAAAAGTATGCGGAGGAAATTAAATTATATGGAAATCAATAGCGTCTGACTGCTTCAAACAAATGTCTGTCACCGCGATTATTCTCCAGGAACCTATTTATAAACCTTGAAAGAAACAGGGTCTTGCAGCAAAAGACAGCACCTTCTGCATTTCTGTGTTGTTATTTATACTGTATACAGAGGAATGCGCGGGCATAATTTAACATACAAATGCCCAGCTGTATACATTATATAACAGCTTGTTAGGCATCCTAGAGAGGAGGAGTGCCTAAGTAATGCGCATATATTCAGGGCTTGCGATCAGGAGGAAGAAAAAAAAAAAAAAACAGAGGGGCGAGTGCGCATCTCCTCTTTCTTCTTCTAAAAGGTGCCCACCCTTAGACAATAGCTGGCCCTTCTGATCTTTCCAGACCTCGGTGGGAAAGGTGAGGCGCGCAGTGCGCATGTCCAAGCAGCTACAGGTGCATCACCTGCGCTGTCCTTGCTGGTGGTCACTATAAGAGCGGCTCCCACGCGCCGGTAGCGACCGGACGAGCGCGCGCGCGCGCGCAGACGCACGGCGCCGCCGAAAGGGAGAGCGCGCGCCAGACAGACGGAGACAGCTGCTGCCTGTCAGCGCGGCGGGGCCGCGAGCTCTCGCGAGAGCTCCCTGGGACGGCCGCGAGAAGTGGGGCTCAGGTGTAAGAGGAGTGCATCCCGTCGGCGCGCGGGGCTAGATCTCTCGGAGAAGCGGGACTGCGAGGCCGGCGCGCGGCGCTCTGCGCGGTCAGAGGGAGCGCCCGGCGGCAGCAGGAGCAGCAGCAGCAGCAGCAGCAGCCCGCGGCGCGGCCGCCGCCAGCCGCAGCGACCGCCGCGGCTGCAGCCTCCGAAGGGAGGCCGGGGGAGCCGGCGTGCGCACTTTCCCGCGGACTTTCGGAGTGTTTGTGGATATACATGCCAAACCGCCACGATGATGTCCATGAACAGCAAGCAGCCTCACTTTGCCATGCATCCCACCCTCCCTGAGCACAAGTACCCGTCGCTGCACTCCAGCTCCGAGGCCATCCGGCGGGCCTGCCTGCCCACGCCGCCGGTAAGCGCCCCACGCCGCGGCCCCGGCCCGCGAGCCCGCCCCTCCCCGTCTCCCAGACGCTGCATGTCCGGGGCTGGTGTGTGCGGGTCCCGGCGCGGGGAACTGCGGGCAGGGGGTGTAGAGCAGTCCCGCGGCGAGGCACGTTTTGTCTGGCGGCGCTTACGGTCGTGTTCCTGTCAGCCTCTGCCTCCGCGTCGGGCGCCTGCGATCAGAGTGGGGAGCGCTGGGGCCAGGACTCTCGACTTCCCTCCACTTTCTCTGTTAATTTCACGCCTCGGAAAGGCGGTCTCTGTGCGTGTTCGGGTGTGTGACACGGGTCCCCAGCTGCGAGTTACATTTCCATTTCTTCTTCTTTTCCCCTCCTTTTTCGTCTCCCACGCCCGTTCCCGGAATGTGTTCCCGTGTCCCCCTTTCTCCGTACTTCTGTCCCCTCGCCATTCTCCTGTCCCTTCTCTTCTGTCCCCCGGCCTGGTTGCCACTGTGCCCTCCTCTCTGTCTTTCCCGCTCGCCACTGCCCCAACCCCGTCGTTATTTTGGTTGCTTTGTGTTTGCCCTTCGCATGTTGTGCTTTTCCGGCTTGTGTGTGTCTTGTGTTGTTTTGTTTTGCTCTTTTGGTTTTGTGGTTTTTTTTGGTTTGGTTTGTGTCGCCTGCAGCTGCAGAGCAACCTCTTCGCCAGCCTGGACGAGACACTGCTGGCGCGGGCCGAGGCGCTGGCGGCAGTGGACATCGCCGTGTCCCAGGGCAAGAGCCATCCTTTCAAGCCGGACGCCACGTACCACACGATGAACAGCGTGCCGTGCACGTCCACGTCCACCGTGCCGCTGGCGCACCACCACCACCACCACCACCACCACCAGGCGCTCGAGCCTGGCGACCTGCTGGACCACATCTCCTCGCCATCGCTAGCGCTCATGGCCGGCGCGGGCGGTGCGGGTGCGGCGGGCGGCAGCGGCGGCGCCCACGACGGCCCGGGGGGCGGTGGCGGCCCGGGCGGTGGCGGCGGCCCGGGCGGCGGTGGCCCCGGGGGCGGTGGCGGTGGCGGCGGCCCTGGGGGCGGCGGCGGTGGCCCGGGCGGCGGGCTCTTGGGCGGCTCCGCACACCCACACCCGCATATGCACGGCCTGGGCCACCTGTCGCACCCCGCGGCGGCGGCCGCCATGAACATGCCGTCTGGGCTGCCGCACCCCGGGCTGGTGGCAGCGGCTGCACACCATGGTGCGGCAGCGGCAGCAGCGGCAGCAGCGGCCGGGCAGGTGGCGGCGGCGTCGGCGGCAGCGGCTGTGGTGGGCGCGGCGGGCCTGGCGTCCATCTGCGACTCGGACACGGACCCGCGCGAGCTCGAGGCGTTCGCAGAGCGCTTCAAGCAGCGGCGCATCAAGCTGGGTGTGACGCAGGCCGACGTGGGCTCGGCGCTGGCCAACCTCAAGATCCCGGGCGTGGGCTCGCTCAGCCAGAGCACCATCTGCAGGTTCGAGTCGCTCACGCTCTCGCACAACAACATGATCGCGCTCAAGCCCATCCTGCAGGCGTGGCTCGAGGAGGCCGAGGGCGCTCAGCGTGAGAAAATGAACAAGCCTGAGCTCTTCAACGGCGGCGAGAAGAAGCGCAAGAGGACTTCCATCGCGGCGCCTGAGAAGCGCTCCCTTGAGGCCTACTTCGCAGTGCAGCCGCGGCCCTCGTCCGAGAAGATCGCTGCCATCGCAGAGAAACTGGACCTCAAAAAGAACGTGGTGCGGGTGTGGTTTTGCAACCAGAGACAGAAGCAGAAGCGGATGAAATTCTCTGCCACTTACTGAGGGGGCTGGGAGATGTCGGGCGGGGCAGAGTGGGGAGCCCAGGGGCATTTTTGGGGGGCTTTCCTCTGCCTGCCTCCCCTCGGATTTGTGTCCGTTATCCTGCCTGGGTTTGGGGAGTCCCTCCTTTCGCTCTTTCCTCTGCCCCCTCTCTGCTTTCTCTGCCCGCGGGTTCCCCCAGCCTTAAGGACTGGGGTGCTGGGTGTAGGGAATGGAATAGAGGGTGGGGGAGAAGTGGGGAGCATTAGGGAGAGAGGGGAGTGGGGGGAAGGAAAGCGGAGACCTGAGCAGGGTTTTTAAGGAGCAGGATGGTTCTGGGGTTTGGGTGGGGGGAGATGCGGGAAGGGTAGGAAAATGGACTGTTTTTGACCAGAGACACTTACCTAAATCTCCTGGGGACCAAGGAACTATGTACAAAACAAATCTACCAACCACCAAAAACTAGACAAATAAAGGCAAACTAAAACAAAACAGAACAAAAGCAAAGGAAAATGCTTTAGAAATTTAACTCCGGGGAGCCATATTGTGCAGCTTCATTTCCCCCAATGGAAGAGAAAAAAGAGCACCACCGTTATTACCACCTCCCCAACCCTACACACAAGAACTGAGTCAAAAAACGAAAACCAAACAAACCGGAAGTTGAAGTTCTGGATAGCAAAGCTAGTTATTCTCTCTGCGTGTTTAATTTTTCCTCTAAATCTCACCTCCACCCTATCCATATCCTCTGTTTCCTTCATTCCAGTTCCAATGAGATGCCAATGGCTGCTCTCGAACGCGGGGAAGTGAGTGGGAGCACAGCTGAAAAGACGGTGTCAGGGGGAGGCTGGGTGCTTGCTTAGGTGGAATCCAAGTTTTCCCGTGGCCCTGCCTAATACACTGGTGGCCTGGTCCTGGTGGGGTGGAGGTCTTTGGAAAGAGGGGCATAGTCTTTGAGCTAACTAAAAAGCAGAATTCCCGGGCTTCAAGATAACTTATTCTAGGAAAATGAAACCATTTTAACAAGTTTTTTTTCTCTCTCTCTCTTTCTTATATCGAAGATCTAATTTTAGGCAATTTCAAAATAAGTTTTTTCCCACGCATAGAACAAGTTTGTTTTTTTTTTTCCTCTTATATCGAAGATCTAATTTTAGGCAATTTCAAAATAAGTTTTTTTCCCACGCATAGAACTTTAACTTGGCCTTTCATTTTTTTTTTTTTTTTTTTTTTTTTTAAGAGAGGTTTAAACTTTTTTCCCCTCTGTGGATTCAAATAGACTGATGGGGTGAAAGTTACTAGGAGAGATACTTTCTCCTGTTTTCTCCACTGAACAAGACTCATTTTGTTCTTCTAGGTCCCCTTTTTTCCTCTCTTGGAGACCATGAAATTAATGAAATGTTGGGAAGTTCCTGCTTTCTGTTGGGGCAGGGCTTGTTTGTGAGAAAATCACCCTAATCCCAGAAAAGAGGAAGAGAGATTTAAAGTGCCCTCACCTCCATTTGTTTCAAAGAGCTCTCTGCTTGTTGGGGGAAAACAGAACAACTGTTTCCTTTTAATTGTTCTTATTCAAGAGTCATTTATTACTGGGGATAAATGTTGGGTAGCAGGAACTTTAATTTGCACTGTCAGTCTCCCGAATAGAAAATCCTTTATAGTATTTCATAGTAATAATCAGGTACCTTACAAGCTGCTGTTGGATTTAAAAAAATAAGATACTTCAGGTGGTTAGGTAAAATGCCTGCTTTGTGTACAAGATATTCTTTGGATCTCTTGTGGAGATGGTTTGTTGCCATCCTTTAATCATAACTAAAACACTGAAAGCAGAACAAATGAGAAAAGAAAAAAACCTGCCGAGACTGAAATCATGCATGATCTGAAAGGCTTGGAAAGAAATACAATTAGGTCTCACTCTGGTTAGGCATTATTTATTTAATTATGTTGTATATCATTGTTTGCAGAGCAAACATTCTATGCATTTGAAACTGAGCACTAAACTGGGCTAGCTTTCTGGTAGACCGTTTTGTGGATAGTGCGATTTCACAGTCTACTGCCTGTTTCCACTGAAAACACATTTTTGTCATATTCTTGTATTTAAAGGAAAAGGAAAAAAGGAAGATTATTGTAAATATTTTATTTAATGCACACACTCACACAGTGGTTACAAACTGCCAGTGTTCATCCTGAAATGTCTCACAGATTGATCTACCTGTCCATGTTTGTCTGCTGAGCTTTCTCCTTAATTATGTCTTTTCTCTTTCACCTTTCCCCTCCCGTACTTCTATCAGAACCAATTCTGTGCGCCAAAATACAACAGGGGGATGTGTCCCGGTACACGTACAAATAAAACATAACTGAAAGAAGAGCAATTTTATGATTTGGGTGCATTTTTGTGTTTATACTGGGCCAGGTCCTGGTAGAGTCTTTCAACAAATGAGACAATATAGCCAAAAAACCCCAACCAAACAAACAAAAAAGAAAACACACTTGGGGGAGGGGAGGGTGTTGAAGGGGAATGAAAAGAGGGGAAAGATCGAGAATTATGTATTTTTTTGCTGATTCAGAATTCACTTTCAGATAACTCGTGAAAAGTGGTGCTCTGAATAAAATAAATTCTATATTAGTTGCCTGTGTTTATACTTTTTTTTTTTTTTTTTTTTTTTTTAACTGCAGAGACTCTTAAACCACAGCACTTGATCCAGAGTGGTGAAAACAAATAACCAGGCACCCAAAAAACATTTAAATTTAGGCCCAGGGACAGAGGCATTCAGAGGTTTAGATGTGATATTCTAGCCTAAAACACCTAGAAACGTGTTAACTAAATGGCTTTTCTTTGGAGGTTAATATATTTTGAAAACATCCACTGATTGTCTGGATACCTTGTCAAATGCTTCTGTTCGTTTAGAACATTTAGTGTGCCACCTACTGCTCCAGAGTGACCAGTCTCTATTTCTTGGTGACTTGAGACTAGATCAGATGCCAAATGTACAAAGTTTCTTAAGAGCTGGGAGTGTATTATCTGAAGTCCTCTTATTTTAGCCAAATCTTTTTAATGTCACCGGCACATCTGTGAAGCAAAACACTTGATGTTCAAAAAAGAGTAGTACACTTTAAAAGCTGTGATTTTAAACAGTTGTTAATGTTTAAAAAAAAGCAGTAGAGGTATTTTTTTAAAAAACTCTTCCATAAAAAGTTGATTTGTTTTTGTTGTTATTGACTTAAAATATAATCAGTTTTAAATAAAATGCTTTTGTTAAAAAAAAACAGTTATTTTATAGAAAAGTATGACTGGATTTCATTGTTGGAAAACCAGGAGTGAACATGAAAAGATTTACAAAGGGTGTTTTTGTTTTTTAAGCCTGCCTCAAGCAGAAATGTTGCAGGCAAATACATGAGTATTATATAATAAAACGATCAATGTCGGTATTAAGAATTCAAGGATTTGCTTTAAATTAAGTAAAACCTTTACCAAGTAAAAATGAGACTATTATTGTTAATAAAACAGGTCATGAAAATGAATTTTCTATTTTATGTAGTAGGAAACTGTGCAAAAGAAAAAATGCTTTGCTTTCTGGTGAGTGAATATACATTCACTACTTCTGTAGCCTGAAGAAGTAATAAGAGTGTTCTAAGGCACCTTCAACTGTCAATCCATGGGAAAAAAAAAAAAATCTAACAAAAAATGACTTCCTGAAGAAGTCAAACTATCATTGAAGAGGGTGCATCCTTTGTCAAGCAGTGATGGTTTGGCCTTTCAGAGTTTTCTGGTTCTGAAGAGCAGAAGTTCACTCTAAGCGGATTCTCCGCCAGTTTTGGGGTGGAAATGATAAAATGTGTGTCTCGGAGTCTTTTAAAGAATAATCTCAAAATAAATTTGAGAGAGTGGGAAAATTGGGCTCCGTTTGAGTATCAGCTTCTCAGGAAATCCAGGCGGCGGTGGAATAGAAAAAGCAAAAGACAAGTAAGCATTAAATCCATCTGCCACATTTATACCATTCGTTTGTCTCAAATTTCCTTTTTTCCATTTCTAGCTCCAGGTCCTGTTTCTTCTGTAGGTCTAAAAAAAAAAAAAAAAAAAAAAAAAAAATGGTGTCCTCAAGACCCATCAACTAACTTCTGAATAATTTTCGTTTAATACGTGTTCTGAAATTGCTCTCAACTTCGATTACACTTTCATAAATAAACTAGGCACCCACTGCCGTGCTTGTATTGATTTTTGCTTTCTTGTGATACTGAGACTATTTCGGTCTGGTTCCTACACGTGGCCGCGCACGTGAGAGAACCCGGCGCCCCTAGCCCGCAGGACTCAACTCAGCGAGCCCTGCCCTCCGCCCCTACCCCGCCGCCCCGGCCTCTCCTGATCACGCCTGGCACCTACTCATCTTTCACGTTGATAGGCTTTCGCAGTTTTTCGTCCGTGAAGTTGGAACTGGAGCTTCTGATCCTGGCTAAAACTAGCGTTTCCCACCCCATTCGAACGGCCTTTGTGGCCAGCGGGTGATGACAATTAATACTGGTAGAGTTCTGCCATCGCTGTTATTGCCACCTCAGCGCCAGGATGACAGCCACGCAATCCCTTCGGGCTGTTCAGAAAAGACTGCAAGCTTAACTGATTATTTTAAAAATAGCAGCCGAATTCTAATTCTCACGAGGTCCTCTTTTCCACTTGCCAGATAAGCCTTGTCGCATACATTACGCTATTTAATGTTTGATCAAACCTTCGTGCCACAGCGGCTTTGGGCGCGGGGCTGGCTCACAGAGCACCGAGTGCGCGGAGCTGCTAGAGCCAGCCTGGCGCGAGGGGAAGGCGCGCTGCCGCCCCACTCCGGTTGGCTTACCCTTTGAATAATTTATGGCCGGAGAGTTCTGGAAATTAATAAAATGAATGATAACAAGAAGCTAATTAAAAACTTTAGTAATTGTTGTCATGTCAGCTTTGTAGGAGGACCGGCAGCCCCCGATTCCCTCCCCGAAATACAGTGGATGTGCAGGGCGGGGCACGGATCCGGAGGCTGCAAACTTCGGCCGCTCAGCGCTGCTCCGACTCAGGGAGTTATTTCGGAGGCCGCCTGGCGGGGCTGCTCCCTCTCCTGCTGCAAGGTGCAGCTCGCAGGTCTCCCGGGCGTAACTTTCAGACTTCAGGGCCGGTGGGTCGGCGTGTGCAGTTTCAAACCACAGGCAGAGCTGATTCAGTTGAATTTGAATACAGGAGGGGACCCGCCCTCCCCCAACTCACGCAGGGTTCTGGTTCATCCACCCACCCACCCAGGCGTCCCAGCGCCTTCAAGAGCACAAGCTGCGGCTCCTGGGGCGGCGGCGAGGGGACTGCCGCGCATCCTGTCTGCACCCCTCCGCCGCCCGCCTGGAGAAGCAGCCGCCCACAAGCTTCCAGGTCGCAGCTCCTCTCGGACTGCAAGAGGTCGCAGCTCCGCTCGGACTGCAAGAGGTCGCAGCTCCGCTCGGAGTGCAAGACAGTACCCGGCCTGCGAGCCCTGGCCGGGATTCGGCTAGTCCCGGGAGGAACCCCAGAAGGTTAACTGCCCTAGGCCAGGACATCCGGCGCGCGTGCGCAAGGGTGGCCAGCAGGTGCGCACGTTGGGGAGAAGAGAAGGAATGGGGCGCTCCGGGAGCGCGCCGGGAGCGCGCAGAGGCCGCACATGCGCGTGTTGGCGCGCGCGCAGTCCCCTCGGAGAGTTGGGTTGAAGTTACTGGGCTCAAAATTAGGCGCTCCCGGAGAGCCTCTCCAACTCTTATTTGCCCTTGAGGACGTTCAGAGAGAAAAGGGAATGGACCAATGTCTCAAAGCGGTTTAAAAAGCCCTATCCCCGCCTAAGTCAACAATCTCCTTAAGCATCACAAAACTTTCAACAACTGCCGTACACGTTTCGAAAAGAATTCGGAGGAATAGGAGCTTGGCGTTTGCTTTGTTACTAAGGTGCATATTACCAAAACCCTGCTACAGATTTGAATTTATTAGGCAAGGATTTATACCTTTATAGGCGAAATGCAGGCTTGCTGCTAGGCTTTCGTTCAGGGGAATCCTGAATCGCAAAGTTGAAGCTGAAAATCTCGGATCGGTGAGTAGGCGGCATAGCCCTAGTTTTGAGACCAGCATCCTTCTCCCGCAAACCAAGGGCTGGGGAGAAGCGCCCGCGTCCCAGTCCCCTCCCCAAGCCTCCTCAGTGAAAGGTAGCTGCTTTCTGATTGAGGGGGAAAAAAGACGTGGAAGGAAAGTTGGCAAAAGGAGTGGTGGAGGAAGAGAGACTCCTCGCACTGGTTAGGTAAAAGGAATCACAAACAAAAGTTTGTTTGATAACTCTGACGCCTGGCCTCAGTACAGTAAAATATATATAAACTTTTGTAGACATAGATTAGGATAAAACAAAGTGTTGACAATTTCCAGCCGTGGAAATTCACTTACACCAGTTTCTCCCTTTCCCCGCCCCCACCAAGTGTTGACAATAAACATTTAATGAAGGCAGAGACCTGGTTGTCTCCAGACAGTGTCAGAATACTTTAAGTAGACCATTAGCACGACCTCTTCCACTTCAAACATCGCGGCACACTCTAACATTATATATACGTGTATATATAAACTACTACATGTGAGACAAATAATACATTCGTACATATCTTAAGTGGTCTGCAGTAGTTCTGATGCCCCCTGTACTTACTAATAGAAAACTAACTCATTGTAGATTACTCGCGCTTAAAAAATGTTAAATACAGTTAATGCAATATTAATCGCCCTTTGGTGATATAAAATGCAATATTTTCAGGCAGCTATTGAGCTTTTCTAGAAGAAGAGCTGATGTAAAGAGTCACAGCTGAATAGTGGAGAGAAAAAGCCCGGTATTTATTGCTTTTGTTTGGCTTTTGGCTACAGAGACAGGAACCTTCTAATGGGGTAAGGACATTTATTTTATCTGCAATCTATTGCTGGGAGAGCAGGGGCGGCAGATGGGGCTGGTGCGATATTCACAGTGTAATTTAGAGCAAATCCTAATAACTAATAATGATTTATGTTAATTTTGATCACTTATGTGACTTCACCAAAGCGTTGTATTGAAAGAAAGAGAAAGAAAAGGAAGCTGAATGTGACAAGGAGCTCTGAGGCTGACATGGGGGCTTAACTGTCCTGCGCTTTGCGCAATCTTAAAATGCCTTGTATGAGTTAGCAGTGGAAATGCAGGCATTTAAAAAAGCAGGTAGGATCCATTTGATTCTGGGCAGAGATATTTCCCGAGGGCTTGCGTTTCTTCTGAAAATTTATCTAAATGTGACGGACTGTGACGCCTTTGAGCCGCTGACGCTTTCATCCCAGTTTTAAATAAAACAGATATGTTTTCATTGTTTCTTTTGCTT